ATGCCCGATTCATTAAGTGCATCTTCCATGACTATTCCCGGACTAAAAAAGGGTACAAGTATTATCATCCTAGCTCTCAACGTTCCTTTGTGTATGTTGATGTTACTTTCTTCGAGTCTACTCTGCTTTTTTTGGGGTCCGGTGATGTTTCTTCCTCCTCATCACCTCCTCCCCTTCCTCTTCTAGTTGCGGATTTTGTTCCTCTTGTTCTAGTTGTGACCAAGTCCTTGCCTCCAGTGCCACCACCTATCCGTCAAGTGTATACACATCGCCAACATGTATCGGCTCCTCCTCCAGCTCCATCATCGTCGACAGATCCGACAGTTGTCCCCACACTAGCCCCAACCCTAGTATCTGATCTTGATCTTCCCATTGCTTTGTGGAAAGGTAAACGCAATTGTACCCTTCATCCTATTTCTAATTATGTTTCTCTCACTCACTTTTCTGCTTCCCATCGCCAGTTTATCTCCTTGTTATCCTTTGTTGTTGTCCCTAAAGATGTCCAGGAAGCCCTTGCCTCTCCAAGATGGCGTTGTAGAATGGAAGAAGAACTCTCAGCTCTAACTCATAATCATACATGGGACCTCACCACTCTTCCTCCAGGTAATCAGGCTATCGATTGTAAGTGGGTTTATACTGTTAAGTACTTACCTGATGGTAGTGTAGAGCGGCTAAAAGCTAGACTAGTTGCCAAAGGGTACTCCCAAACCTATGGTATTGACTACACAGAGACCTTCTCCCCAGTTGCTGAGATTGGTTCAATTCGTGTTGTGATTTATCTTGCTGCTATGTATTATTGACCCCTCTATCAGCTTGATATCAAGAATGCTTTCTTGCATGGTTATCTGCTCGAGGAAGTCTATATGGAGCAACCACTGGGGTTTGTTGCTCAAGGGGATGATGGTAAGGTGTGCCGACTAAAGAAGGCCATTGGGCTTAAACAGTCTCATCGAGCATGGTTTGGTAGGTTTAGTGAGGTGGTAAAGAAGTTTGGTATGAAACAATGCCAAGTTAACCATTCAGTCTTCAGTCATGACTCTCAGGCAAGAAAAATCCTATTGGCGATGTATGTAGATGATATTGTTATTACCGAAAATGATAAAGTGGGAATTGATAGGTTGAAAACTTTTCTACAATAACATTTTCAGAAAAATGACCTTGGTAAACTAAAATATTTCTTGGGGATAGAAATAGCAAGGTTTAAGCATGGTATTAACTTATGTCAAAGGAAATATGTCATTGATTTGCTGGAAGAAACATGTTTGTTAGGTGTTAAACCAACTAAAACACGCAAGGAAACAAACACTAAGCTGAGTAGTGATATGGGTGAAGAGTTTAAAGGCCTTGGCAGATACTGGCGGCTTGTAGGTAAACTGAACTACCTAACCATTACTCGGCCAAACATTTCATTTGCGGTTAGTGTGGTAAACCGGTTCATGCAGAAACCTCTGGTTCCACATTAGGATGCAGTTCTAAGGATTGTGAGGTATTTAAAGGGGGCTCCTAGTCATGGTTTGATATACATAAGTGGTGGAAAACTTGAAATAGAAGGATATACTGATGTTGATTGGGCCGATTCTATATCTGATAGGAGATCTACTACAGGTTATTGCACTTTTCTTGGGGGTAATCTGGTGACATGGAAAAGTAAGAAGCAGACAATTATTGGCAAGAAGTAGTGTAGAGGCATAATATAGAGCTATGGCACATACTACTTCTGAATTAGTGTGGCTAAGGAACCTTCTATAGGATACACTGTTGACACTCCAATAATGTTCTATTGTAACAATCAAGCTGCAATCCATATCTCCTCTAATCCAGTGTTTCATGAGAGAACCAAGCATATAAAGGTTGACTGTCACTAGACCTGTTCATGGGTCGGGTGGCCCGACACGGACTTGAACACGCAAATGAGCCCGTGGGCTTAACCCTGGGCCAAAAATCCCGGCCCGCAATAAATTCGAGTCGGGCTCGGGATTTGCCAAAATAGCTCATCCTGGCCTGACCTATGGACTAAACTTAAAAAACCCTAACTCCATAAGCCGAACCTCTCTTATCTTTCACATCTTTCCCCTTAGTCGAACCTCTCTTCTCTTCAGTCTTCAATCCTCCTCAGTCCTCACACTCTCAGGCAGCCACACAACCGGCAAGGCGGCGAACATTCACCGACGCAACAACTCCGGTGGTGAGTCCTCTCCTTCTCTCTCTCTCTCTCTTTCTCTCTCTTTCTTTCTCTCTCTATCGTTTTTCTTCTCACTTCTCTTTCAAATCTCAGGCACCGGCAAGGCGGCGAATATAGGCACCAGCAGCGACGGTGAGTTCTCTCTCCCTCTCTCTCTCTCTCTCTCTCTCTCTCTCTCAAACGCGAACTGACACTTTTCACTGTTAAAATCGCAGCTCACAATCACTACGAACTCAGCTCTGGCGAACACAATCATCGTCGGGCTTCGGGCTCAGGCTTCAAGCTTTTTATTAGGGTCGGGCTCGAGCCCAAGTTGTAGGCCCGTTGGTCGGGCCGGGCTCAGGCTCGGGCTCGGACCTAACAAATTTCTATTCATGAAGAGTAAAATCCCAGCCCGGCCTATGAATAGGTCTAACTGTCACTTTGTGAGAGAGAAAGTGTTGAGTGGAGTGATAGATACTACATATGTTAATACAAGAAACCTGTGGGTAGACTTGTTTACTAAAGGGTTGGGGAAGAGTGGATTACATATGTAACAAGCTAGGATTATATGATATATACTCACCAGCTTGAGGGAGAGTGTTAATGTCGACTATGTAGGGGTATTTTTATCTTTATGCTTATGTTTAAGTTGCTGATGTGTAAGGTTATGCTAGATCTTATGTCCCTCACTTAAGTAGGGGCACATGTGTAATTTCCAAAGTATTAATAATATAAAAACAAATCTGGCCGAATGGGAGAGGTGGCTTTTCTCTCTTGTTCGAACTAGATTTTTCTCTCCCTTCTCTTCTCTTCTTCTTCTTCTCTCTCTTTCTCTCTTTCTTTTACTTTGACTGTTATCAGTCTAACGGGATTCAAGGGCAGGTCGAATCCTGATAGGTTTGAACAGTTTGACCACCTGGGTCAATGGTTTCCTGACCAAATCAATAGTTTTTGGCCAAAAGGACAGCTCTGGGGTAAAACAAAACTGGTCAGATGATCAGTTCCTAGTTTTTCCGGTCCAACCATCTGATCCGGTCCGGTTTTAAAAACCATGGATTATTATGTTGTTGCAAAATTCTCTATTTCTCTAGGCTTGCCTTCAAGGCTCTGTTTGATTGCAATGCAAATCTGAACTGGATAAAAATCTTACACCTGATTCGCTTTTGCATCCATTTGTTTGCAACTATGATTTTGCACCATTACTTGATGAAAAATGTGTGCTTTTTGTCTCATTGGACCGTTTTCCACCTAACTTAATTCTCTCTCATATGAAGTGGGGGGCCAAGGTTCGAAATATCAATACACCCCGATATGGTGGATGGTGTGTATTGGTGGTAGTTTGAACCTTCCACTTTTTTACATTTTTTAGTATTTTTTTCAAAATATCAAAAGTGGGCCATTTTTATATTATTCAATTATTGAAAAACGAATTTCTTAAAAATGGCGTATCAAAAATAAAAAGCCTGTATCGTGTCGAAATCTTTAACCTTGGCAGGAACCACATCAATTTGCTTCCTACCTTAGCAAGAACAAATAACCTTCCCTACACGGTCAAACCTCCGTTATCTTTCGTATAAAGTGGGGACCGCATCAATTTTCTTCCCACCTTGCCCTTTCAAATAAATAACCTTACTCAAACCTCCATTCTCTTTTATATAAAGTGGTGACTACATCATCTTCTTGCAAACAAATAGAACAAAGCCTAATCTAAAACATAAGTAAATTGGGATTTACACACCCATTTGCACTCTTATTCATTTATACTAGTGCAAATGAAGTTCACGCTACAAACAAGTGGAGCGTAAATAATGAAATATGCACATAATTAGATGCACACTAAACAAAGATTTAACATCCATCCACATTGGCCTCAAGGTTGTCATTGAGTACTATTATTGAAAATACAATGTGCCTCAGTTGATTCATCTTTACATTGTCAGAGTGGGGATCACAAAACTGGTAGAGGTATATAGTCCAACACCAGAAAGAAGTAAAAGCAATCTTGGGCTGAAAAGTGTGAAAACACTAAGCTCCAGTATGATAAAAGCCACTTTTGTACAGAAAAGAATGCCACTCCATTCCACCTCTCCCAAGACAGATGGCTGAAACCAATATTAGGTGATGGCCTTTTTTTAAGTAACAGCAATCTACCTCCAGACTTCCATTCTGTCATATATTTGATGGAGGTTTTCCCAAAAGAAGTGAAGCAAAAGAAAAGGAAAAAGGAAAAAGGAAAAAAAATGAGGATGAAAACAAAAACTATATACTCATGCAAAAGAGAAACCAAAAAGTTTCCAGCATGGTCAGTCATGAGGTCCAACCTCAATGCTACCAAGAGAATGCTATGGACAAACTCTGAACCAGATTTCATGTCTCTAGAACCATTCATACAGATGAAAGCGACAAATATTCAGGCATTATAATTACTCAAGCATCACGGACAGAAGCCATTTACACAACTGCTGAGCCATTATATGGATCCAAAAGGATGTCCCAAAATCCAATTGGAAGTAAGTCAGCAATAACAGATAAAGGAAGACAAGATATTATGAATCACCAGTTCAGGACATTTACACCGGTTTTTGTGTGATTCATTCCACATGCACAAGTTATCAACATTGGTGGGTACTTCTTTGACAGGGAACTTGAACTTTACCAGCCAAAAAATGTCTGATTTCAAAGCATAAGGCAATGATGAACAATCACAAGGATACATTGTTGCTATCACAGGACAAGAGAAATAACTGAGAAAGTTAAAGACAGATCTGGATGGCCAACTTGTCACACCTCAGATTTGTTTGCAGTGCAATTTCATTGTTGTTAATGCAAATGCACGAGTACAAATGGCAAAAATGCAAACTCTAGTCCACTTTTGCTTCAGATTTTATTTTATTTTGCTTCAGGTTTTACTTTACCACATCTGTGATAAAAGCAAACAAGATAGGGTGAAAGTTAAGACAAGAAAAAATCAGAATTCACACTCAAATCATTTGCATTCCAATACACTTGCACCAGTGCAAATGAAATTACACTGTAAACAAACCAGGCCTTAGGACATAAACAGAAGGCTTCTTTATGTCAAAAACAGTACATAAAAGATATATATATGGTCATCTAGGTTAACAGCCTTGAATTCGAAACCCTATGTCATAAATAGCACTTACCAAGGAAGACAAGGAAGACCAAGTTAATGTAAATTAAGCTATTCACTGCAATTAAATAGCACAAGTCCATCAGAAGAAAGCACGGCTACCATAGAATACCCTTGACCCATCTTTCTTCTTTTTATCAGTTTCCAATTTGCCATTACGATTCTGTATAACATCACCATGGTCATCAGATTCTGGTTTACCAAGATCCATTGGAAGCTTCATCTTCGCCAGTGATTCTGTAAACTGCTGCATACTCCTCATATACATATCAACTATCTGCTGCTGCATGGCTGTCTGCTCAGCCTCAAGGTTGATGTTCCCCAGAGGAGCTGTAAACACTGGACCCAAGTCAGAAGAAGAGGGGTTGCTTTCTTTGGAACTCTCCTCTTTCTTTCTTGTAAAACTGAGCTCTTTTTCATCTGTATCATCATTCCCTTTCTTTGAAGTGGGTGTGTCTGGAGAAGCTCCAGAGCTCTGATGAGCCTCTGTGGAGATTGAGGCCACCTGAGAACTGGATGAATCACCAGCCATATTACTCTTTTTCTCCATTGAGTCACCCGAGTTCCTGTCATCACTTAAGCTAGTTGTAGTAGAACTGAAGAACCCAGAATTGTGGATGCTTCCATTTGGAGAAACAGATCCACCACAGTTCTCCTCCGAGGAGTTTACTGTCATGTCGTAGTCATCCACGGGCTGCAGACGTGCACCAAGATGAAGGAAAGGAGTGGGTCCTATTAATCTAGTCCTTGAAGCAAAGTTGTGCTCTGCCATGTTGAAATACTGTGAGACCATTTGCTGATTCTCCCTCGCCACATTGATGTCAGGGAACTCTATCCTCCCATATTCATCTGGATCCAATACAGCCTCCGAGGATTTGCGATCAAGCAACACAACTTCTGAGGTGATGGACGAATTGGTTTCAGAGGGAGTAATAGGCAGGGATGTGTTGAGAAACAAAGTGAGTTTGACAGTTCCGGCGGGGGAATGGAAAAGATCAGTTGATGAAAGGGTGAAATCCTGGGTTACCTTGCCTTTTCCTGCAACTAACGATGTGGGAACCAAAGCAAATCCTAGCAATTGGTCTTCTAAGTAATTTCTGACTCTGCTAAGCATCCAAATCTCACATTTGAGGACTGCATCAATCTGGGTTATTTTCATTCTCAGGCTCTCATTGAATTCTGGGTTCTTGCCACCACCATTGATAATTCTAGTTGAAAGGGTCTCATCTGGGCTGCAAGTGAGGGAGAATTTCGCATACACATCTTGGTTGTCATAGATACAGATGTTATGGATGTTCCTGGCATGATGAACATAAATTTCTAGAATCCCTGAGAACTCTCTATCTCCATCTGCCTCTCCCATAGCCTCTGTACTTGGATTGTAACAGAACCCAGCTGCCTCACGAAACGAATCCATCCCAACCAAAAAAACTTTGCAATATAACTTCTTCGTTAGATTCTTCTAACTGTTTTCTGCTCCAAGAGATGGGTTAGCAACCGCCTACAGAATTGAGGAAAGAAAAACCCAGAACAAGACCAGAGTTGTTTGAGAAAAGAAAACCCAATTTTCTCTCTTCTTCTCACTTACAACTGGAAGCTGAACAAAACTGATCAAAAGGCTAAAGAGTTGCAGGGAGACTTACTATTGATCGAAGAATGGAGCTTTTGCAAATTGCAAGTTGGGGTGGAGAGTGGTCGGTATTAGAGTAGGTGAACTCGAATATCTAAAGAAGAAAGAAAAGAAGAAAATTGATGCTGATGATGTTGTTGAGGTTGTTTGCTTCTCTTTTTTCAACACTGTGTTTTACTTTCTTTTCCTCTTTTGTTTTTGTAGGTGGGTGGACTTGACATTGTTGGGTTTTCTTTGCTTAAGATCTCAGATTGCAGTGAAGACTGAAGAGTCACTGCTCCACTGAAGAAAATGGAGGACCCACTTGGTCCTTTTAGTCTTCAAACCCCAATTGCTTTCTTCCCTCAATCTCCACTCCAATAGATGCCTTGGGAGAAGACTGTCTGGCTTTTCTTTTTTGTCCTTTTCACCATTGCTCGTAGTGTTGAATCCTTGGACAGCCATGATGTTGTCCACCTGTTGCAGATAACTTTTGGGAGATGGATAAATTACATTCTGATCCAAGGACACAACTGTAGCCCTTCTAAGATCACCGTTGGATTGTAGTCTTCTATCCTAAGGTATCTTAATGCAAAAGAGTTGAATTCTTTTCTGTGTGTTGTAGTGAATTCTATCAGTCCCCACCATGATCGTGGAAGCATCCATTCCATTCCAACAATGTGGTCTTCCGAAGTCGGTTATTGCTGTCTTTTAGCCAAGTGGAGGTCATCACGGCTTCTTTGAAAGTTTCGTAAAAGGAAAAAAAAGTTGGGAAAGGTAAGAATACACACGATGCAGAATTCTGAATTCCAGCCACCCCCTACGATTAGCCATTTTTTCCTATAAACCACATTCTGCCCGTGAATTTGGCATCAATTCACGGTCAGATGCATTCCCCTGTACTTTATGGCTAGTAAATTCTGAACTGGGCTGATCGGTACTTCTCCCAAAAAAGTTTGAGATAAATGCACCAGAAAATAAGTACATTCTTTTTAAAATTTTTGCAAGTATAAGGTTATATTTGGTAAGAGTGCAAATGTTGAATGAATTCAAGCAAATTTTTACTATGGCTTAGTTTTTAGACATGATACATTTTTATACTTAAGAAGCCAATAAATTTGTCTTTTTTTTTTGACAAATTTGTAAATGAAAACGAATTTTGTACCCAAATCTAAGTCAATATAAGAATACAATGCAAAACCAACTCACCCCCAGTTTGCATTTTTTATGAACTGTACATATTTGTATTTGGATTGAACATTTTTACATTTGTATTCTTACCAAATACAACATGACGGATTTTTTCCACTTTAAATATAACAGAATTAAATGAACAAAGACCAATTTTATGGCATCCAAACACTTTCGTTGGTTAGTACATGACATACTGCTCCATGAGCAATTTGAGGTTCTGTTTGGTTATTTAGGTGTGGAACCAGGAATTTCATTTTTTTGGGGGGAAGTGGGGAATAAATGTGGATGGGACCATGGGGCAATCATGGGGGAGGAAGAAGAGCAAACAAACATAGATGAGGCCAACCATACACAGCCAGGGGATTTTTTGTAATAATATATCTAGATATGTTATGTGTTATTTTATACATATTGCATGCCATATTATAGAGAAAATTCATTACATATATTTATTTTAAAAATGAAGGGAGGTTTCTATGAAGATCAAAATACAGGAGAGGTTCTAATAAGTTTCACAATATTAAATATATACAATATAAAACATTAAACTGTGATTGGTTTGAAGGAAAAAGTAGGAAAAGGTAGGAAAACCTTTACAAGATCCTTTAATAATAAAATCTTCAAGCATTTAATAAACCACCCAACTTCAACATCCCAAACCTTTTCAGTTCTACCACTTCACCTGTTATCAGACGGCCCATACGATTTAGATCCATTAATTTGGAACCCAAACCTGAACGTAAATACTTACAGTAGTTTGTAGTTTAGAATAGGCTCTATCAGTTACTGGTACGATTCAATTAAAAGAAACTTTCTTTATTGCTGTGTACATCAAGTGTGACCCCATGGACAAAAACCCTCTACAGGTGAAGTTAGAGCAGGGTGGAGCCTAGGGGTGCAACTTGAACGGGCTCAGGCAAAATTTGAATAGGCCCAACCTTAAATCCGAGCCTAAAGCAGTGTAAAATGTTAACTTGGGCCAATTTGAATTGCACCCTTAGTGGTGGTATTGGCACGAATGAAGCCTCGATACCCCTCATGCCTCAAATTATCCACAATTCTCACTTATAATATTAATATAATAGACCAATTTAGCCCTCCATCCATGTTTATTATCTTTTGCCTCTCTTCCAAAAAAAAAAAGAAAATAAAATAAAACCCTAACTCTACAAGTTTCTTTAGATCTTTTGCTACTTTGGATGGAGGTGACACAATAACGTGTTGTACATAATAATTTTGGACTGGGCTAGGCTGAGATCACCCCTACAACTAAGTAAAGGAAATTTCCAGGAGCAAATGTATATATATACTATTTATAAAAATATGAATAGGTGTCCTTGGCTTTGGAATTTTCATTGGACAATAAATGCCCCCTCTCTAAAGTTTGAATTGGAAAACAAGTAAAGGCAAAATTATTATTTTGCATATTCATTTAGTACTGCTTATTTGATAAAAAGACACAAAACTACTTTTGTTCAATAATTGGAAAACAAGGCATAGTAAAAATGTCATTTTATATTTTCATTTAATGCTTATTTATGTGGAACTTTTGTTTGACTAAATTATCCCAATTTTTTAATTTGGTCCTTATCTAATTTTAAGGATGGAAATGCAATTTAAAAATTCACTTTTCTCCTCATTCAATCCCTCTAATTAAGTCTCATATTTAAAGTATTAACTCTCATTAACATTCATAGAATCCTTTTCTTGATTAGAATACCCCCATTTTTGAATTTGGTCATTCTCTAATTGTAACGGCACAAAATGTAATTTGAACTATTGCATTTCTCCTCATTTAATTCCTTGTCATTAAGTTTTATCTTAGGGTATTAATTCTTATTCTTTTATTGAATCATATATTTAAGATATTATTTTCACAAAATAAAAACAATAAATTCTATCAAGTAGATCTACATCCATACTTTTGGATGCATCTCTAATATTTTAACTTTCGATTGATGATATAAATAAAATACAAAATTCAAAACTAACACAAAAGTAAAATTACTTTCCTGTTTGGTGGTAGATCAATTCAACATTTGAGGTTAAATGTGTCAACTTGTGAAGTTATAATTAAATAATGAATTTTTAAAAAGATAAAAACACAAAAATTTACAAATATATATATATATTATGTAGAAAGCATTTAGGCATATTTCTATATTAATGAAATATAATAAGTGTGACAAATAAGAATAATTTTTATAGACATAGAAATATAAAAGAATGTAAAAAATTTTGTTAACATATTATATAATATCATCATCACAAAATTTGTCACATGCAAAGCACACATACACATACTAGTGTATGTATTTTGTAAAAGGCTAGGTTAAACCTAGTTTGCAAGCAAAACGTTCCTAACCCAACCCCTCCCTTTGTAGAGCCAATTGTATGATGGGCAGCTATCTTCTACGATTCTAAGATGATTTATCTATTAGCGAATACAAGGTGTCAGCAAGGTTTTAATTGAACTTTGGGAAGGTGCCAATTGTATGATGGGCCTCTCTGGCTGGTTGTTGCGGAAGCTTCGGATCAAATTCACCATAGTTGGGAGTAGGGTGAGCAAATGGGTAGGTTCTACCCGGGAACCGAATGGAACCAACCTCGAATTGACCTTGAACTAACCCTATACAATCTGTTATAGGGTAGGGTCTGGTTCCAAATTCTTGGAACCAACCCCCACCTAGGCCGTTCCAAGGTCTAAGGGTTTACCTTACCCAAACCAACTTGATGAACTGACCTTGGATGGCCTTGGTGGAACCTGCCATGGAGCTGAGCTTACATTGAAATAAACCCTAAAATACTTTTAGGGATGCAAAGATTTGAACCCAAGCACTCATGGTCATAAAGGCCATGGTCTCACTTAACCAATGACTTAAGTTATTTGATCATTTATTTTCATTTTAACATTTGAATATGTACAATAAGTAATGTAAAAGGTAATATTTACAAATTTAAATTTAAATTATAAGCTTTGAACCATATAATGATAATCTACATATTAAGCTACTCAATTTAATCAATAAAGATAATATAAGTTTTAAACTATATATTATATTTATTAAAAATCAAGTTTTTAAAGAACATGCTTCTTTTTTCTTTTTTTTTCTTTTTTAAAGAGGTAGTAAAGAAAGAACAGGTTCCACAGGTATACCTTGGAACTGACACCGAAACCACCAAGGCTAGAACCGACTTTGGAATCGACCTTCACAAGGTAGGTTTTGATCCTGTTTTTGTCATGGAACCGAATCGAATTGACCTATGCTCATCCCTAGTTGGGAGGTCATGGGTTTCGGGGATGGGCTACGCCTTGGTTATGTAACCCCATGGAACCAAAAACAAAACTAAGGGTTTGTTAGGTTTGCAGTTGGAGTTGAAATCAAAATCCTTTTTAATCAAAATCAAAATGATATATTCCCATAGTTTGTTTGGTTCAAACAGGAATCAAAATGGGAATATGAATACACTAGAATGAGATTTCATTCCCTAGGGAGGGGGAGGGAATGCCATTCCACTAGAAATGGGAATGTGATTCCAATTCTTCCCTACCAAACAGTTGGAACTGGAATGGCCCATTCCAATTTCAGACCCCTATTCCCACCAACCAAAGGGGCCCTAATAAATTTTCTTTCAATTTTGAGCGGGTTTAGTTTATTCCCCATGATTAAGATTAAGCTACGATATAGCATTGCCAACTCAAACCTATATTAGATTGGATGGTTGAACTAGTGAACTGATGACTTATATTTCAAGGCATTGATGGGTTTTAGCAACTTGGGGCTGGGTTGTTTTGGGTTTAGATCATCCCTAGCCCAACGCTATGTAAAATCTTAAACTGTTATTCCAGTCTAGCTGAAGTAGGTTTGTAAATTGGCCCATATTGGCCGATATGTATCGTGCCGGTGGCTTCCCGATACGACCCCTGTAGGGGTGTATTGGGGCAGACTATGGTTCAGAGGGTAGCTAGGACTTAAATCAACCCCTCTGAATCGGTTTTGAAAAAAAAATAAAACTTAAAAAAAAAAGCACTAATACTGTGTTGATACTTTGAACGTTGGGTTTAGTTCATGATCATTAAGGTAGCAGATAGTTTTCTCTTCTTTATTCCCACCATATGGTGGGTTAATTTTTTATTTCCGTTACCTTAAAGGCCAC